CACACACACACACAAACACACACAAACAAACACACACACACACACACAAACACACACACACACACAAACACACACACACACAAACAAACACACACACACACACACACACACACACACGCGTGCAGTGTCTTTCCACGTCGCCCCCAACTCGAGAAGCACTGGGTCTCTGAAGTCCACCCATGAGGCCGCAACGATGTCCCCCATGTAGCCCGAGTCCGCATCGCTGCAGCCTCGGCATATAGTCGGCTCTCTCCATCTCTGCCTACACTTGGCACAGGATGAAGAATCACCATCTTCTGTTCCATTCTAGATGTCGTCGTCATACTCATCACCATCACGACGGTCATCTGCCCGACCGGAGTGTCACATTGATCACATTTCTGGCCATGACAGCAGCTGGAAACCTGATTTTCACAAGCTTGGGTGTGAGTGCCGGGCTTTCTGTGCCGGTCTGTCCGTGCCTTGGCTGTTGAAACCGTGACACTACCTTGCTAACAGTTGCGATAGGACTTTCTAGAGAGGAAGATCATGGTCAAAGCGTCAGAATACACAAAACAGGCGACTAACGACGATACCGTTGCCAGCAGAGGACACGACCCTGCAGCACGATTGAAATTCATGATGAGAGCCCGGTTGCAGGATTTGCGAAGTGAGGCTCAACGAGTGCGGGGAGCCAGCGAAGTTGACGGTAACGTCAGATCCCGTGCTGCCTCGGATGCAAACGAACAACCACATCCAAGTGAGATCACAGCAGTAGCTTTCTGTCACACGAGCTGATACTTGCTGGGGACAGCGCATGGCGCCTTGCACGCCGATGCATCGGCCTGGATGTGCGAAGACCAATGCACGACAGGAAAAGTAGCGACCCTTGCAAAACCCGTAATATGTACAACTTGCCTGATCCTGCTCTGAAGAATGCTGGAAGATGCCAAGCTGCTGAGAGGACGCCCTCGCTGCAGGTCAGCACGATATCGTTGGCATAACCTGCAGCTTGGGGCTAACGGTGTCGGACGACGCCCATGATACAGTATTATGACATGCGATACGTATCTTTGCACAAATACCATACATACATGCAAACAAACATGCATGCATGCACTCATAGAAAACATACATACATCCATCCATCCATCCATGCACGCATGCATGCACGCATACATACATATACATCTACACAGACATAAAACGTGTAGTAAACGTGCATGCGTGTGTTTTGTTTGCAAGAACACATGTGTGTACATGCATACATACAGACGTACATACATGCACATATATACATATATATATATATACATATATATACATATACATGCATGTACAAAGATGTATCCGTTCATGTTTTACCGCTTGAAACACACTCTATCTATTCATCATCTATCTGTCTATTCTTTAAGTTTTATCCTTTCCTGTGTTCATATGAGGTAGATAGGAGCATTTTCACCAATCTCGTGTCATGAACAGTATTTTCCTAGAGTCGTGGAATAAATGGTAGACATGTTTGTTGATTTTCAGCCTTCAGTAGTGTATCATGCATCTCTGTGTCAGTACTGCGAGTAGCACTAGATTTGATAGCAATAGTTTAACAGTAGCTGACAAAAGCTGCGACAGTAGATTGTAAGGCTTGCATCACCGCCTTACCAATCGTACTTACACTGCCGACGCAAAAGTTAAATTACTTTCATTCGTGCTTTTCCTGCTCTTTACAGATTGTTGGCTGCTGTTTCACTTGCCTTAAACATCTTGGACAGGCTGCCCTTGGGGGGTGAATAGCATCTTCATCGTTGATGCCATTTTGTGCGGTTCTGTTGCTTTTCCTGTGGTCGATTACGGAGTTACCGTGTATTACCTGGTTGTTCCCCGCCACAAAACCGAGTCGCGCAGCAAATGAAGAGCCGCGAACATGCACAACAGTAAGGCGCCGGCCCGACACCGCTCCATCGCAGGTCGTGTTCAGCGTCTGCGGGCAGGCTTCTTGTACGATGTCTGCCAGTCACACAGCTCTTGGAATGACCTCACCAATATGAAAACTGCCTGTGCCCGGAAGCTCGGTCCCCACGAAGCTTGAATTTGTAACAACCGGTTCAGATCCGCAACCCACCACCCGCTGGCCCCCTGGTGAAGGATGTCGGAGGCCGGCGAGACCTCGGCTCAGAGGGTCTCACAAGTTTGGCGACCTCTATTGAAAACCAGGGCATTCGGCATGCGCAATATGCCTGTCAAGAGCGCTGGCCAAAGTTTGGGGTCCGAAGCAAACGCACGAATGCACGAAAGCGCAGCCCCCATAACTTTGCACAGGATGCGGCCGTCACAGACTGCCCGCCGACGACCGCATTCGCACCTTCAGCCCACTATTCCGAGTCAGCTGAATGTCCGTGTCGACTTTGGTTTTGTTCGATCTACCTGTCATCAACATGGCCGTAAGGAAGGTTCCCCTTGGAGCTAGGATCCGAATATCAGGAAGTGTATTCCCAATCTTCTCGCTGGCTTCAAATTACAAAGGCCTGGAACAACTAACGCTGTGCGAGCTTTGCCTCCCAAACATGCCCTGCTGACCAGAACCCGCATTGGAAGGCGTTGGGAAGGCCGCTGATGTTTCACTCTGCAGCGCAAGCTGTCCCTTCTACATGAGGCAGCAGTCGAAGAGCACGCACAGAATGCACAGACACACACGTCACCATCAACATCACCATCGTCATCATCATCATCATCACCATCATCATCATCATTGCGAGTCGAGGATATGCAGCCTCTAGGATTCTGAGTTTAGAAAACAATGGCCGCAGGAACTAGTAGGCCAGGAACCGAGAGCGCACTGCTCACAGTTTTTGGGGAACATGGCACAACCTCGCGAAGCAACGTCTGCGGACACCGGTTCTGTACCCATGGAACAGCCCACAGAACATCAATATCAGCCGTGCTGCTTGTTGAAGTCGTGCACATTTTGTGGCACGCGTGGCTGGGACTCAACCTCGAAGAGCCAACTTGATCTCATATATATATATATATATATATGTATACATATTATACACACACACCTAGAAATCTACATCAAAATTACTTTGTGTATACATATACGTATATATATATATATACATGTATATATATAGATAGCTTTGTGTATATATATATATATAACAATATATATATATATAATATACAAAATTACAGCAGGTGATCGGAAAATTCTCAAGATGTTGCGCAGGATTTCACTGAGACCTGACTCCTGAATCCGCGACAACATCTTTCCGGTGCAGTGTGAACACGAGAGGGAGCAGAGATGTCTGTCTCTAAGCCCATAAACCAGGCATCATGTAGGGGCCGTAATAATCAGAACAGGGTTTGGGGCTCCTCTATGCTATAATTATATCAATACGGAACCCAAAATAGTATTGGTAATTATTTAGCCCCTATATTAGGTGTTGCTGCGGATGCGCATTCTGCATATCGAGGCCGTGGCTGTAGCTTGCAGTAGGAGTACTATACTAGACTGTATTGTACTATGTTGCACTAAACTATACTATACTATAAATTACACCATAAGATACTATGCTTTGATGATTACAGTTTCGGAAATTGCCGTGTTGTCTGTGCTCCCGACAGGCCATTGTTGCAAGACAGAGTCAGTGTGCCGTGGTACTCCGCATCCAAGCTGGCCAAGGAGATGTGGAAGTGTTTAGGGCTGTGCAATGCAGGTCACGCTGTCTGACAAAGCATGAGTTCCACTCAAAGAACCCATCGACCCGTGCTGCCTTCCCGCAGCTACCAGCGAGCACAAACAGTCGTAACAACAGCTCGCAACAGACGCCACAACGGATCTTGGGAAGTCCAACTGCGTGGCCTGGAGCACTGCATGGTCTCGGTGTCGCCGGATTTCGTTCGCGCGGAGAAGGAGACATCGTTGCCTCGGCTGCACTCAGCAGGCACGTTTTGCAATGTGAGCCGTGGACACTGTTGCCTTCACCGGCCGCTGATGGACGCCCTCTGCTCTGGGGCACCATGCTCTCTCCCACCACGGTCACGGTCGCCGACTCTGCTGGATAGCAGGCCTTGCGCGACACAGCACTATAATATACTGTAGTTCAATGTATGTACTGTACTATACTTTATTATACTATGCCAGACCAGAATAGACATGACCATATACATACTATACTATGCAAATACTATACCAGACTTTACTACGCCATGCTGTACTAGACTAGAATAGGATAGGCCAGAATGGAGCAAAATGCAAGTTAGTGTAACGTGATCTAATACAATACAGCATAATATAGTAGTTCATGGCATTTTACAGGACTTGGTATATGATGATACGCCATGTCAAATGCCATATAACACTATATAGTCTAGTACAGCAAAGTGTAGTACGTACATGATGCAGTCAAATCTAATACTGTAGAGTAACATTACAGAATATAACATCATACGACACAGTGCAATATATGCTCTGTTTAGACTCTAGCAGCTATAACAGGATCAGATGCAATGCAATATCAACTCATATGATGATGATGATGATGATGATGATGATGATGATATAAGGCAAGAAGGCTGCTTAGGGCTTAGGGCCTAGGGTTCGTGTTTGAAAGCCCGGACGGCAGCAGGCCTCTGCACAGCCAGACGTGTCCGCCGTTGAAACCTCCGCTGCTCATTTGGGTCCCTACTCTGCAAGGATTCCACTCAATGCCTGCAGCCGGAGCCAGCCCCCAGGTGAACTCTCAAGGCTTCAGCTGGGACTTTTCCGAAAATCAGGGTACCTTATTTTGGGGTCCTTATAATAAGGAACAATTCATTTAGGGTACTATATTAGGGTCCCCTATTTTTGGAAACCCCCAGTTCCTGAAGGAAACTTTTGTCCTGCTTGGGGCTTTGCGAGGCCAAGCCTCTGCAGTGCACATACCTTGCTTTGAACGATGACACAGGTACGGTTAGAAGAACGGCACAATCTTATAGTCAGCGGATGTGCCAGGAAGGCTGCAACTTGAGCCAATCAGTTCGGTAGTAGAGCGCCCGACGCCGTCTGTGCACAGCAGGTAGGCCATGCCGTCCCACTGGCCTCAGTATGGCTGGTGTTGACGGTGTTGGCAGACACTTTTTTTGCATCTATCAAGCAGGGTTTGGTGGGCAATGCGTGGGCAGTTCGGAGAGATAAACTCGTGTAGAGGCATCCTGAGGTTCCCTCTGCCAAGGAAGATGGTGCAGCTGACGTTCTCCACTCCTCCAGAAAGCGTCTCCTCCTCAAGGGGGGCAAGGGGTCGAATCCGTTGGCGATTGCGCCGTGTGCTGGGTGCAACGAGTCCTGTGGCTATCACACGACTAGCCTAGCCACTTTCACACATCCAAGGGTGCAATGAGTGCTCAGTCCCGTTCTCCGACATTCTGAAGACGAGAACCTATGTTGTACTATAATGAATTTAATATACTATTTTCATATACAGTAACCTCATTATCGTTGCATTGGGGAGCACGAAAAACAGAAGCCTAAGGCACAAGCCCAACATGAACACAAAAACAATACCCGGCCCAATTGAATTGTATTTTATGATGTTCTGTTCTGCGAAAATGTCTTATGCTATCATATGTTGCATATGGCATATAAAACAGGCTCCTTAAGCTTACTCAGCCTACAAGCGCCAGTCTCGGGAACATATAACCCTGCCAGAACCACCCAGAAACCCTGGGTTGAATCGTAAACCTTGGAAACTCAACCCCAAATCCTTAAAGCCCTGAACATCCGTACCATCGCTCCGACGCGTTCTGGGTGTGGTTGCACGGGCCTTGGCAAGCCTCGAAAAGGGCCGGTCTGCAAAAGGCATAATATGAGGGCCTTGATTAAAATGGGGCTTCGGGGCATACTCTACCACAACTTATGACTGTATGGTCTATTCTATTTAATAGTCACTATACCGTCGTTCCGACCCATATATTAGGAGCAAACAAGTCAAATCCCACAACGCACCAACCATTCCAATCCCAGTCAATGCTGTTCGCTGTGCAAGGGTCGATTGAGCTCAAGCAGAAATTCATGCCGACGCACGCCGCATCAACAGCATTTAAAGCTGAGGAGGAAGACGAGAACAGCAAGACGAGCAGCTGCTGCGGCAGCCGACGCGAGCACGGACAGCGACAGCGGCAGCTACAATGACCACGACATGCACCACTACCACCACCAGCACCAGCGCGCCACCATCATCGCCATCACCTCCATGAGCACTGTGTAAGGCAAGGATGTGCAAAAATGCAGAGGCCGAACACTGCAAGCAAAGTCTGTCGCAAGCACAAACACGAAAACGGTCAAGTCATCGCCAGAGTGTCGTGCAAGGTTCATCCAAAGTGTACAATTGGCTAGAACCTATGAGATCTGTGGATTTTAGATGCAGTCGAAATGAAGTACGTCGGGAATGTCAACTACGTGGGAGGGCAGGCGATCGGCACAAGTTTCGGATCAGCCGAAGCTGTCGGCTCCATGCGGAAGTACGGTATATGGGGGTTTCCAAATTAAATAGGGGACCCTAATATAGTACCCTAAAACATAGGTTCCTTATTATAAGGACCCCCAGAATAAGGTACCCCTTCTTTTCGGAAACTCCCATATGGGATCTTGGAAGAAACGGGCAGCCGAAAGACCCCCTGGAAAGACCGACCCCCAAACAGGCCGGGGATGTCGCCGAGCTGTTGGTGCGGATCTGTCCGCCAACGCAGGAGTAGTGAATCTGCAGGGACAGAGCGGTGGTCTTTGGCTTCACCAATGGCAGAAGGCCTCTCCCGAGAAGACTGAAAGGAAGGGCGATGTTTTCAGAGCAAGTGTAGAACATACTTTACTATACTATAATATATTGTGACTATGATTTACTACACTATTTTATGTAAACCGAGCTACAGTGAAGTCAAGACCCAACGTGGCTGATACTGGTCGCAACGGTCCTCTCCGCCCCTTGGGCCCCTCGGCCTGACCGACGAGGCTCGGATTCACGGCGCTGCAGTCGCCGTACCAGTCTTGGCGGAGGGCAGTGATGCCGGGTGACTGCATGACAATTCAGGTTTTAGGGCTTTACGAGTAGGTTGATCATAAGAGACCGGTTCGGCGCCTCGTGCGGCTGAAGGCAGATATGCTTGGGGATTGGAGCTCATGGCCCGACTAGCACCGACAACTGTGTAAGTGGAGCGGCACTCCTCGGCCAAGAGATAGCCTGAGCGAAGCTGTTCAGCTCGGTTTCCCCCTGCACTTTAATGTGCACCACTGAAACACTATCACAAACCCTCACCTTTACTTCCATATACTTCCATTGCTTCTTGTATTTTCGTCTGCGCTCTTAACGAGAGGGAGGCACCGTGTCCTTGTTACTTCGAACTCCAAAATACCAGACTCAGCCCGTCTACTCCACATCGACAAAACACAGGAATTCAGTGAGCAGAGATGTTGAGCATCAGGCTTTCATAGGCCTCCACTGTGGTTGCCCCGTCCTGACACTCAGTTCGGTTCAAAGCCCTGATCGGAGCCACGTCTTTGGGGAAGCTTGAACCTCCCAGAAAGAGAGCAGCACTTTGCGATCACCTTCCTTCTGTCGACCCCGTGTGAACTGTAGCGGGCAAGTTGTTCAAGTGCCCCTCAACTACTCCTGAATCCTGAAACCCCAAACCCTTAACTTGAAACTTCCCAAGGCTCGTAGTAAACTCCGCAACGGCACAAACTCCCCGAATCTCAACTCCCGACATGTGCACCTCCGACCCTCAACTTCTTCCAAAGCCCTGGCTTACGGGGCGGAGCTGAGCTCAGACCCTGGGGCTCTCGCGGTGCGCGGGTCCTTGCCTCGGACACTCAGAGGGTTTCAGGTTGCCCAACCCCCGCAGGGAGCCCCTAGAGCCCTATATAGTAGGTACCTGGGAGGTCAGGGTTATAGGGCCAAAAGAATGTCGGGCTCTTTTCACGGCGAGGCTGAACTCACTCGTAAACACCAGCATTCTTGACAATGACCATGACATGAACTAGAGTCTGGAGTACTATGGCATTGGCAACACTACTATCTGCGAGTACAGTCATACCGAATGCAGGCTCGCAAAAAAGGACTCAGGACACAGCATGGGTTCGGAATGCACTGTTCGCTGGCCACCTGAAGACAGCGGAGCCGCAGGCACAGCATTTTCGTGAATGTAACTTCTAAACCCACTCTTACACGAAAATGGGCACAAGAAGTGTTGAACGAGCTTAAGCAGCTGTCCGGCACAATGGGACCACCATTGCCCTAGCAACTGTTGCCATTCCACGCTCAATTTGAGCTCGTTGGGCGACTGCTACGGAAGCTTGTGAAGACCTCAATAAATTCTTAGCTGCTAGAATATGCTGTAATATATTATAATATACTACACTATAGTATATGATACATGACAATGGCTATTGTTCAGCATTCCCTCAGAGCCAGCCGATCGACGCCTGTGTCACGTTGTCGTTACAGCCCAGCTGGATCTCGCCACTATATCCGGAGGTGAAGGTGCCTGGGTTTTTGTGCTGAAAGGTTCCATCTCATGGGCTCTGCGAGCCACCCACAGGATTCATCCTACTTGTACACGCCAGGGGCTTAGTTTCGCCAAGGCGCTTTGTCAAGCTTGAGCAGAAACTACAATTCCCGTTAACTCCGAAGACAGAGGACCCAGTCGTGATCACCACTGCCAGCAAGGTTGTATGAGAGTAGTTGCCGACCATGAAAGATCATGGCTGTCTTTACTAGCGATTCTTACTATTCTTGCCGTTCCCCAGTCCCTCAATCGCAGTCGATCGCGGTGGTTCCCACGAAGCCCGGGTCCCGCACTGCAGTTCTGCCAGGCATTGTTTCCATGCCTGTGGTAGAGAGGCACGGGATGCGGTGCTATGACAACTGCTGGCATCACCCCGACAATTTCTCGTGGCTTGGAGTTCGGGCAGCCATTCGGAATTGCAGCCCCCCTATCGACCTGAGGCCAGCACTCGATGAGCTGTGCTGGAATCACTGTGAAGGTGTCGCCGTCGAGCTCAGCAGGAAGCAGCATGCTTGAACAAATCTCCCTCTGTCAGTTTCCGTGGCTGCAGCTGACCCGACACCTGCACCCTATGCTATCCTCCCATCTCCAGGTCAATAGCATGTCAGCCTCCTGTTTAAACTTCAAATAAAACCCTCAACCCTAATCATATAAACCCCTAAATCCCAATCATAAAAAAAACCCTAAATCCTAAACCCTGAACTAATTTCTGAAGTCCGAGAGCAGCCGACTCTCGCTTGCTAAAACCCAGCCGAGAAGTCGGCAGCCTCGGAGACTCCCATTCTTCTGAAGCGTCCTGACCCTAAAGCCTATAAGACTACGAAAAAGCCTACGATACTATATGTGTATATATATATATACAATAGTATACTATACCAAAACATAACATATTATGACATCGTCGATGAATGTCCATGATGATATAGTTTAAGTTTCTGCGGATCCCTGCTCTGACAAGGCGGCCTGCACCTGTACCGGCGAGGTCTCCGTGCAAGACCTCGGCAGCGTTCATGCCACGAGTGGGTCTCTGCCGAAGCTTGAGAACCCAGTGACGAAATCGGATCAAAAGAACACCAAGAAACGATGCTTGAAGCTACGGAAAGACAAGCGCAACGGGCCCTGAAACATGACTTTTCTCTCAAAGTTTCAGAGGATCAAGCTTTGAGGCCCGGGCCTTGTACATGCCGACTCCGAGACCAGGGAAAGAGACTTGGCGGAACCTCAGCAAGGAGAGAGCCTCCCGTCTGTCTCAAGAGTCCAGCTGGCTTCGAAGCAATTGAGATCCAACTAAGTGGTTTGGGGTTGGAAGCTGTACCGGTGCAACGTGAGTCGAAGGAGGTGTGGCGAGTTCGAGTCCCAAGTTTTTTTCCAGAATATGCTGGATAGGCAGAAACGAATGACCCTGCTGGATTGTGACGGCACGTTGCTAAGAATCCCAACTAGGTTCGTGGTTGCAGAAAGTAGTGTTGGCATCAGATATTAGTCCTACCCACAAAGAGCAACATCAAAATGACGACCATCGTCGCGGAACAGGTGCAATAACAGCCGTCACATCCGCGCCAATCCAGCAGCTCTGTGACGAACACCCGCATTTGGTGAACACCAAATTTACCAAACAAACACTCACAACCCTACCGCCCATCCTTCAGTTAAAAGTAACTAACCCCAAACCGGCCAAACCCCTAGTCCAGAAAGCCCTAATAGCTCCGAGCACCCATAACCCTGAATCCCAGTAGGTCCTACTAGTAGCACCATAGAGTCCTCAAAGCAAACAGAGCCCTAGTCATCCCCGGGGCCGGTGCAGAGAGCTTGGAAAGATCCCGTCGTCTCCGGGTTGATGACTGGCAGGTGCAATTCAAGGGTTTAGGAAGTTTAGGGTTGAGGGTCCAAGAAGTATAGTCGTGAGATGACTTCAAAAACCGGCACTGCGGCATGACTATGAGCACTTTCCTCCTGGTGAAGATCCTGAAAAATCAATCGTTGTCAGGAGGGGAATGGTGTATCCGCGAGTTCATGATAGTCAAGGATGAGCTCAGCTTGCGGTGTGAACGGCAAGAGGGGAACGAAAGCAACTAGTGCCATGCTGAACGCAAGAAGCACTAAGAGTGTGTAGCTGCCTACATGCTCTTCTGAAAGGGGGTCTAGCGACGATGTCTGTCACGTACACTGGCTGCATCTGTCCACACAAACCTAGCCCCTGTGGTACAGCCTAAACGAAGCCTTAAACCCTGAACCCTGGAGCATCAAACCCCTCGACCCTATGCCACTATGCTCTCCGCATTAGTCGAAAACGGAGACTCACCATGGATTCTCCCTGGGACTCCGAGCGGTTGCAATCCACGGGCCCTTCTCCTCCGTGTGCCACATCGGCAAGGAGCTGCGACACCTGAGCTTCAAATTTGAGATCTGCATTTCATCAACGATTTCCTTCACGCGTACTTGCTAGTACTTCCGAAGGAGAAGTACTACATATCACCTCTCAAAGAATGGTAGCTCTGCCCGTGATAACTTTCAGGGACATGTCCAGGATCCCGGCACCAGAGACCCCGTAGACGGTGGCTTCGATGAGAAGGCCGGCCTGAGGAAGCCCCAGGTCGCCACTGCACCGCTGAAGGAGGGCCCATTATACTATAATTATAATAAGGAACCCCCCAAAATAGTATAGGTAATTATTGACTCCTACAGAGACGTGGTTTCTTCTCACCGCGGCCATGGCATGCCAACTTCCACAGGTTCTGTTGATGAATATGATGACTTCTACTGCATTTAACATGCCCGTTATCATGACCACCATTGCATTGCTGATACGAAACTTATGGCATCACGACCTTCGCTATGATACAAGAAGCTGTGAAGCATAAACCTTAAAAGGACAACACCCCAAACTCTATCGTGTCTTTGTGCCTCATCCACCTGGTCGCACGCAGTCGTATTCAATGAGAACGACGCAGACATGCGCTCATCAGCATATTAAGACTCTTGCACCAGCATCGTCAGCCTCTACAACTGCTACTTGTACCAGTCTTGCCCCACGCGTAGACGCCTCGCTTAGCAGCTCAAAGCACTTCTCCGATGCAGCCGAAGTTGCCGGGCAAGGTTCGGGCAGGCAGTTGTGGCTGGTCACTGATAAGGTGCCGTCGTCGCCTCGGGGCTGATTGCTCCTCTCCTTTTTTGTCTCGCTCTCTCTCTCTCTCTCACACTCTGCTAGAGGGGAGGTGTGAATCCTGTTGCGAGCCCAGGATCATGTCAGTCTTGTGGTTCTGAGGTGTCGATGATTGTCGATGTGAATGTACCGCAGTGATTTCCCATGTCGCAGTGCATTTTATTTGAAGCTGAAGTGTCAACGGTCTATGGGTTCGTACATGATGGTTTGCGATGCAGAGTTGAGACCATTTCGGGTGACCTCTGCGAACCACCGTGGTGGGCTAAACTGCTGCTAACCGGCACGAGATTGCCACTGCACAGAAGCAGTGCCTCACTTGGACACCAAGACTGACCTGAACCTCCAGCTCCAAACAGATTTTCAAAGGCTCTGGTCTTGCAATGGTTTCTCCAAAGGCGCACGCCCAACAGTCCGCAGCCAGCGTAAACCCACGGGAGCTCGGGGCGCTGCAGCTCAGCTGAACTTCTCCGCCATATCCGTACACCACGTTGCCGCATGCCTGCGCATGAGGCTTATCTGGTCTATCGGGAGCCTTCAGTGGGCTAGGATGGTTCTTGGAACCCTGTGTTGTTATGTGTTGGCTAGGCTGTCCCCAAATGTCTTTATCACTGCTTTCGCTGTTGTCGGTCTGACTTGCTTAAGCAGCTGGATCCATCCCAGACTATTCGTCGCGGCAGTGCAACATTTGCGCCATGTGACTTGGCTGGGATCCTCACTGGGACGCCCTTCAATCGCAGCGCAATATGGGGGCCTGTTTCGGGGGTGTATTATACTATAGCTATAATAAGGAACCCCCAAACTAGTATTGGTAATTATTTAGGCCCCTACATTACATGCAGATCTTGTACCAAAGCCCTGTCCCCAAACCCTCGTGTTTCCTCTCAGATTTGGCGCTTGGGCACAGTACTGGCCAATCACAGCTCGCGTTTTTGGGGTATCCACCAGGTTAGCTTTACTTTGGTACTGGAGATGGCTCCGGTGCGATTTCCCTAGTGGCCCATTTTGACCCATCGGTTTGGTGTGAGATTTTCGTTGTTTTTTGCCTGGCTTTCATTGTCATGCCAAAGCCCACTAGTAGGGTTTTGGGGCCCATTATACTATAATTAAAATAAGGAACCCCCAAAATAGTATAGGCAATTGATTTTTTTAGGCCCCTATACTACAGCTAGGCCTGAACACCGTTGCCCAGGTGCGAGATGCGTGCGGCAGGCCTCGGAGGTCTCAAGGAAATGCCAGTAAAGCTGAGGACACTCATCCAGCAGACCGAAAAATAAGAAACAGAGCAAGGATGAAGGGAGACGGCAAGAGACAGAGAGAGAGAGAGAGAGAGAAAAAAAAAAGACAGAGAACAATAACAAGAGGACTTAAAGAGGAAGAAGAGAGCAAGGGGTTGGGACACGATAGAGAGAGCGAGAGGCAGATAGAGAGAGACCCAAAGAAACGGAAAGACTGCTGAACAGACAGCCGGACAGCTGGGCCGGCCAAACAAAAATCAGGGGAACACGAGACAGAACGTCTGGACAAACGGAACGAGGCAGCAAGATGTACAGAAAGACAACACGAACCGCTGCACCTGGCTTCATGGAGTAACCATGTGCTTCCGATTGAGCCACCTTTGCTTGGCAAGGCCAGTCGCCCCTTTGCACAGTTGCCGCTGAGACCCGAGCGACACTGTATAACTGCTGCCATCGATCGTGACCTTTCAGGTGCAAAAGCAAGGCCAGAAGAAGCTCGGGACTGCTTTAAATCAGAGCATGGGGTGTACATGAGCATGTACACCCTAACTAGGGGCCTAGCCTAGCCTAGCCAAACTTGTGTCTTCGGAGGTGGTAGACAAAGCTAGACCGTCCCGTCATGCACCGCTGACAAGGTGCTGTCGTGTTTGATCCATAGGACGAGCATGTCTTTCGGCAAGCGGACGAATCTCCCGCCTGGCACAAGCAGCCATGTTCTCGAAGTTGGGTCGGGTGAATACGGTGTAATTTCTTGTAATTGCTTTGAAAGCTCGTTGCCGTGCACTGAATCAAGCCACTTGTGTTTGTGTGTGTGTTGCAAGATCGGCCGCTGAATCTTAAACGCCGGCTGTGGCACAGTCTCAGCAGCACTGCTGCGCAGCCAGAGTTTAACGAGTCCTTGACTCCGAACGCACTAAATCCACCACACCCCGTTGCGCAGCCTGGAGAACGCCCTGGGTGCAGGTCAGCCTCAAAGTCAGTACTCGTAGCAGAGGTGCTCAGTTTGTGTTTCGGCTCTGTCTCTGGAACCAAGGCCAGTGGGAACCCGGCTCAAAGTCGCCACTCCACTCCACGTTCACATCGCCGCACTCCCCTGAACCTGGGGGGCTGAGCTTTTCGAGCTCTTCGTCAACTTTCAGGCTTCAGCATAAGGGCTCTCTGCTGGACCTGAAAGTGGACTTCAGATGTGGTATGCATGGTTTGCACGTTGGGCTCGGATCTAGGAATCCAGGGATGGCAGCATGCAAGAGAAAAAGAAGCAAGCACAACGCAGTGAAGGATCGCAATGCAGTGCGAGGTTATGCGTCCGAGGCCTTTGTTGTCCACGAAATACCCAACCAGATTGTCTTCTTGACGGCCAATCCGAACAGCAACTCAGCTCTCTGACGGTATGCGGCTCAATACCAGCGCCATGCTGAGCTGTCGCCATACATATACATGCCAGCATACGTATACACCTACGTACATACATACATACATAAATACATACATACATACTTGTGTGGGGTAGCACATCATAGCTGCGTCTAAACATGGAACACTAGGCACACCGATATTCAGTCCTGCATATGAATTTTACGTTTTTGATGCATTATGCAACATGACACGCCATGCAATTACTTCATTGCTATCTTATATAGCAAGAGCGCTGTACGGGAACATCCCATCTACTGCTATGTAACAGTCCATGTTCCCGTCTCTTGAGGCTTTCCGTCAATGTCCAAGGGCAGCCTGTTGAGTTTCAGAGGTCTTTACACAACCGAATCTCAGATGATGCCTCTCCTTGAGTCCAGCCTACATGTTGAGATCACCGGCAACTGGGCAGGCAGCCTGTGGACCCGCTGGCGATCTGATCTTTCGGGTAGAGAAGGCCCGAAGCCTGTCGAGACCGAAAGGTGTCGCCGTTCTCCAAAGGCACAACGAGGCTCGCTTCTGATTCTCGGTTCAGCCGGCTCGGGGGCCAAGGAGTGGGACGGGCTGCTGGAGAATGCAACAAGAAGCATCCCCGTCCATGACCATTCGATGGCACAACAAATTGCTGAGTGGGGCAGGTTCGGCTTCAAGCTGAATTCCCGCTGTGATGTTGCCTTCGAGTCCTGTCATCCCGCATCTCTTGATAGGCAATTCTGAGCCGGAGGCCTTGACCCTGCTGTTCTTGGAATCGACATCTAGCAGCTATCGGCCCAAAACCCGACCCCGAATCCTGTGGTAAAGAGAGTCGGCCATCAAATCCCAGGCAGCCTTGAACCCCGATATGCCCTGGGGTGCTAGAAAGAGTAGAAGCCCAAATCCCCAAAGCCCAGTCCCAGCCCGGCCCCCTGTAGAGTGGCGGCCACGAAGTCCCAGGGCTCGCAAGGTTTCACCTCGCGGCCCCGGGGTTCAGCGTTATGAGGTTCAGAGTTCCTGCAGTGATCGGTCGTCAGTTCGGTCTGTTGGGCTTGCGGTCTTGTGGGCCTCAAGTTTAGGGGTCCTACGGGGCGTTGTTCCTGGCGAATCCGGTGAAAGACCTGGCATGGCCAAGAGCCGACATCGAATGCCACTGTGCGATCCGACCCAAGGCATGCGCATTGCAGGTACTGGAGGCCAGTGACACAGCTCCCTTGGAGCACGAAATGGTCAAAGTGCCGGTGTACCTCGGCAGGAGCAACTCAATTAGCTGCGGATCCTTCTGGTTGAGCATGAGCTCTCTAATTCTAGACTTAGTGCTCTGAACACCCATACGCCCAAAGTCTGAAAAAGGGCATCGAGACGTCCTTTAGCAAGGCTTTCGTAATGCTCTTGTGTGAATCAAACCCTGCTTTCGTTGGACTGGGTAGTCGCCATGCGACCATCTGCTCGACACCCCACGGCTACTCACGGGTGGCCCCATGTTTCTCAATGATGGTGAGCCCTTTCTTTGCGTCGTGCCGCGAACGGTGACAAACAGGAGAACAGCTCCTTTCTGGTACACCTGAACATTTAAGTTGTCCCAGATCAACCGTCACGTCGCTACCCCAAGGGTTTCGTAGGTTCAGAACGTACCAATTCTGAGGCTCGAGGCTCGGCCTTGTGCTTTTAGAAGAGATGCCAAGCAGTGGGCGCAAGCATCGCACCCTAAACCCTAAACCCTAAACGAGTAGCTTCGGGCCCCGGCTGAGTGTTCACTTCCTCGCAAAGCTGCTCGATGGATCCTGCGTCCGTTCCACATCCACTCGCACGCACTCGCGGCTGTCAACAGGAACCATGTGCGGAGCGCACAAGACGGCAACGTCTACCACAAGTGACTGTCGCTCTGGCCATGCATTGTCTGTTTGCTTTGCCTAATGATGCAGCCCCAACCCCTGGACAGCTTCTCGCTGATGCCAACAGCCCAGCCAGCCCGATCAGCTGAGTATGTCCCAACGACTGTAACCTGCAGCTACTATCCATCGACTTGACTTCGTCTAGCCAAGCACCCTATCAAGCATGAGTGGCAAGATTTCGCATGCAATCATAGGCGGCAGTACGAGCCCGAAACTGCTGGCTCTATGCCCCGAACGCAACTCCGCAACTCCTTGATTTGTCACTGAGACTGAAACCCTCTACGCCCCTCCATGCGTCGCGCCTCCATGACTGAGGGCCTCGGATGCAGCCACCTGGAATTACTGTATCATAATGTACTCTAATATACGGTGACATACTGTAATATACTGCAGCCAAAATGCACCTGATACCACCGGGCACAGTCTTTGCAAAGCTCTTGGCTGAAGGTCCGATCTGTGGGACGTTGTTTCTCAACCTAGCGCTTTCGAGAGACCCCAGTTTCGCGGGATTCCGTTTACCCTACGCTCTACGCCGTGAACAAAACGGACCCCAAGCAGCAACATTCCCACCTGGTTGGTCGAGCTGCCCACTGTGACCTGGGCAGGCGAGTCTGTGAAAGTCGTGGGGGCTTCAAGAATCTTGTGGACTATCAATACATAGTGCTGCGACGAATTAATGCGCAATCTATTACCGATGGGGCATGATTCCGTATCATCGTCGAAATCGCATGCATGAAGTCACGCGGAAAAAAGAAAATGACATGATTGGACCATACTGTGATTCTAGACTTGTCGACTTTGCTACTATGCAACTTCCAGATGCTGTTATGTTCCGAAATCCGGACAGAAATGGGGGAGGCAGATTTGGATTTGTGCCCCAGTTTGTAGCTGGGGTCCACGTTGTACCAATGCTTGGGGGAGCATGAATGTGGTGCCTAACATTCAAACGTCCACAGTAATATTATATCATCCTAAACCCCTGAACTTGCAACACCTTACAACACCCCACAGAAGTCGCATACACCGGCTTTTCCGAACAGCTGTTCGAGCACCAGGCATCCACCGTGTCGGTGGCCAGGCAACCCCGCTCCGTGCACTGGGAGGTATCCGCCGCAAGATCGCCGGTCTTAGCGGCTTGGGGTTCATGTGTGCTCATAGGGTTTAATGTAAGGTTCAAGAGCTTTTTTCTTCAGATTTAGGAGTTAGGTCCGGTTGAAGATGATTAAAGGGTTGTGGGGGGCCAGCTCACTTGTTTACGACCTAGTTTGGGATTTCCGTTTGAGTGGAATGGGTGTGGGGGCTACAGCTCGCCTCACACGTCGATCACATCGTCCGTCAGCACACGGCTACTTGTAAGAACCTGAAACAGACTGAGTACCTGGCCACGCAGGACAGCGTGTAAACGCCCGTGAAGCCCGAGTGCAGTCCCGAACACGGGATGTTGAACCTGAACACTACAAACAGTAGTCGTGAGAACACATGACAACACAATACGGTAACAGCCTCGCGCACTGGAATGGCTGGCTGACTCTCTCACTCTCTCCCGCTCTCCCTCCCTCCCTCCCTCCCTCCCTCCCTCCCTCCCTCCCTCCCACGTTCCGATCACAGCGGGATATGGCACCCACAAGCACGTTCTGCTACGCCAAAATGTGTAGTTGTCCGGCAAACAAGCTGGGGCCCAGGCTCTGTCTCCCCACTGAGCAGGGTGGCGGTCGGGCTGACCTTACTTCAGAACTCATGCACCTCACCATGCAGTCCGTGTTCCACCAGCGGACATCAGCAAGACATGTGCCAAAGTCCGGTAAAACGAATACAAGGGCCCTGTTCACAACATCTACGAAATCCCCTTGCATTAAGTGTGATAATATTGACATACATATGTATATATATATATACACATACATACATAACATATATATATATACACATACATACATACATACATACATACATACATACATACATACATACATACATACAATATAATTAAAGCAATGTATAGGACTTCATCCGAAGGCCAAGCCAAATGCCCAGGCCCTGCAGAATCGAGCCCCGGACTGAGACTGTGCTGTCCGCCAGTGTGATGTCCATGGTTGCCGAGGTGGTGCATGCGGCTTGGCAGTTGGAGACATCGAAGCCTCGGTGCGACTCGAAGGGCTGCGGGACTGAGATGGGCCCAATGATCGGCAGACCTGCATCTCCGATTGCATGGCTGGTCGCGAACACACTCCGCACAGCTCTGCGGCTCCGATTCGGATGCAGCCAAGTCGTCAGGTCTGGCGCGCGCGCGTGCTTCTCCTACTCTCGTTATATAATAAACCCGCCTCAGTTGCCTGGATCCTGGGCAGTGAAAGCTCTGACCAGCCCAAACTCTCGCCAGCATCCCGGGGCTCAGGCTGAGTGTACCCAGGTTGCAGCTGAGAGTGAAGCTGTTGCCCCAAGCCTGACTGGGTGGCCGGGTGCTTTATTTGCAACCCGGGAGCCTGTGATGATCAGGGCGTGTTAGCATGAGGATGCTACTTTGTCATCACTCTCCTTGCTGCTTTGCAGAACCGCTGAAATCATGATTTGAGAACGGAGCTCTGATGGCCCACAAACCCGCTTTTCCCGCTTAGCCGCACGACTTCAGCTCTGTATCGCCTAAGTACTGCTACTCGTGATAGACGACGAGGCATCGAATGTCTTCCACTCTGACCTGACGCGGCATCTGTGGACCCTACGCTGTTCACGTCCGAACAGAAAGCTGTTGTGGATGTTCCCGACCTGATTTCGGCAGCAGGATGGAAGCGTGCCGAGCGCAAGTGCCCCAGGCAACTCACTGAAGTGCATCCTTATCCATCTGCCCACTGAACAGAACACAGCGGTGGTTCAGGTTCACGAATCGAAAACACCGAACCCACGGAGCAAACTCAAAATCGGATTCAGGGGAAAGTCGATGCTAAGTCATTCCGCCCACCTCTTCCTCGTTACAGTTGACAGTTGCAGGCTGGGGAACATCGGATCGAGCACCCGAAGCCGGAACACTCCTTCGGCATGCAGCCGAGACACTTCACTTCACGGCCCAGAGTAATGGTGCTCGTAGCCTGGGCTGACGATAACATTTCCGAAACTCCGGTAGAATAGAACTCACTTCAAACATGTTGCCAAGGTGCTACATGATTTGCTAACGTGAGGGCGACATTCTGCAACCAACTCTTCGATAATTCTACAGCTTTGAACGGCGAGCTCAGCAATTGCCTAGGGCCTTGTGTGCATACATACATGCCATAGATACATACACATACATACATACATACATACATACGTACGTACGTACGTACGTACGTACGTACATACATACGTACATGCATTGCATAGATACATGCATGGATACATGCATACATGCATACATCCATACGTACACACATACATGCATAGATACATGTAGATAAGTATACGCACGCACGGAGTGCTGTGCATATATATGCACGTATATGTATACGTATATATACACATACATACATACGCACACACACACACACGTACATACACACATTCAGATACACAATCGCACATCGGCGCAACAATGATATTCTACATTGCTATGTTTGCGTATCTGTTCGCAGAGGATGATTGTCTCCCGGGCGTCCAGCTCCATCCAATGTCACATCCAGTTGGTCGCCCTGGGCACACGGCTTCGGGCCTCAGACCAGCGATCAACAAGACAAATGGCAGGAATATGAAACACAAGCCATAGACATAGATGTGTTACGGCCCATCGCAACAGTCATCATGATACCGGCCACCTTCACCACCATCATCAAGATTATAACTAGTTTCAGCATCGTCTTCGCGATCCGCATCGTCACCTTCACCAGGCCCTCGTCATCGTCACCGTCATCGTCCTCGTCTTCATCACCATCATCATATCCCTCATCATAGAACCACCAGCAACGCACATTCAATGCAGGATCTAGGAAGAGGCACAAATCGAATTGCGACGTTCCACCAAAAATCAAGGCGGCAGGTGCCACATGGACTTGCGAGGGGGCTTTTTCCCTTAGACCAGGCGTTGATAGCTTTCCGCGAGTGTTGACGTGAGGACCAGGCTGCACCCAGAGGGGTTGGCGGTGAGGACGCCGAAGAAGCAACTGATCCTTCGCCACTGGGTTGTTGCAGCTTCTCACTTTTGCATCGGATGAAAGCTTAGGAAGAAGCCATCCTCACTGAGGCACTTTGAGGCAGTGGCTGGATGGTTCCCGCATATCCGCTGTTGATTGGCTCGCAAGACCTGGAAGAAGGACTTGTAGCGAACAACTTTCACATTCCTTAGCTCTAAAAGGTAAACTCATGGAGACCAGTATGCCTTTGTCCATGCGTTACTTTTTTATATACATGTATACACTACATATACAGTCTTTTACAAAGCAAAGGTACTTCAATGCACATCACATAAGTGATCTGCACGATGCCCTTTGACACAACTCAAACCTCTTCGACCCCTGGTCTCTTCCCAGGTCCTCTTTTCACAACCTGTCATGGAATGCCTAGGCTCCTCAATGGGGGGAACCCAGCCTCAGCCTAAGAGTCGAAATTCTGAGACCCTCGCGTGGAATCAGAGGATCCAGAAGCCATCACCGAGGAAGGGCCTCAGTAAAATGGAGCCTCTTTGATAAAACCAACCTCGATTTGCTGGAGCCACCTGAACGCTTCACACCTGCAGTCGACACCCTCCGAAGTCCGAACGACCCTGCAGTGTTCTTCAATCACTCTCTGCTGCACTTTTCCTCGCAAGGCACCATCGTCTTTCGTGGAGGTCTCTGGTGATCTCACCAGTCGGAGCCATGAGCGGAAGCTAAATTTCAGGGTTCGCTGTGAAAACTCAGGATATGTTACGACGACTGCTACAGCCAAGCCACTACATGTTGTAATATGGGATTTTCGATACTAGTACCAAACCCAGCGATGCTCTCCTCGTCTTTGGAGAGGCGTCGCGTGCTGTTCCACTGGATTTACAGCTATAGGCTTCTGGCGGTTAGGGCTAGCATGGTCCGGTAAGGACTCCCCGACGACTTTGCCGTGTGGCCTCACGTTCCTGGTGTTAGGCAGCTAGAGGTGGCGAAACATGTCGGGCCAGGCTTTGGGAAGATCCGAAGACGTATCAAAGAAGAATAGGAAATGCCATAGTAAGCTGTACTGAGACGCAATCACCACTGCGGCCCATGAATCGGACGTCCACCGTGCAGTAGAGGCAAAAGGCCCTCATCGTTGTCATGCACAGAGCTCAAGTTTGTGACTTGATGACAACATGTCTGCACGGGATCAGCAGCCAACAACTGCTGCTATGTGCCGTGCGCAGCTCTGTTCATGCAAGGAGGGGCCTAGACTCTTGAGACAGGAATCTAACCGGGTGAGGAGTTCTGCAGCAAGTTCCACCAGTGTTCTGGCTCTTGCTTCACGAGCCTGGGCTCAAATTGCTTGCGTTTGTGTAGGCTCCCGGGTTTGGGCGTTTTCTGCTTACGGCTTCGGTGTTCTATGATGGTACTACTGTTCATCTTGACTGCAAGTCTAAGTATATGTATGGGGATGCTGGCGGTTGGGGAGAGGATGACGACAATCGTTCGGGATCTCCACATTGTCGCTTGACTCAAAATTCTGATATGGCTCTATGAAACGGTTCCATCATGAGATAGCAGGTCATTTCGTCTTCCCGCTCGACGAGTAGTAGAGCTTCGCTTTCGACCAAGCACAGGGTTTGAGAGCTCAGTAACTCTCCTTTCGCCACCGGCTCCTAAAATCTGAAATCCACACCTCAAGTCAAGTGCACACCTATCCATCCTTGCAACCAGGCTCGACAACCACGTTCTGACCTCCCGCAATTGCCTCCTTAACCGGCCTAAGACCTAGGCAGCAGCAAAGACCCAAAACAGCAACTGAAAGCGAGCTCCTCCACACACCTGCCAAAACTCACCACAAGCCTTGGGGAAGCTCATGTGGGCTTTACTCTTCGACTTGATCCGTCCCGGTGGCTTCAGCGTTATCCGGCTGCTGCGCACAGTGCACTTGCACCTGAGCAGGACTCTAAGCTCTTCCGGAACGGAGGAAGGGCGCAATCTGTAATTGCAGTCCAATGAACTTGCAGAGCAGCCATCATCCCTCGTCACTCTCCTCCTCATCATCGTCCACTTCCCTCACTTGCTTTCTCCTCCTGGTCTGCCTCATCCTCCCTCTCCTCTTTGATCATCATCTTCATTACCACCTTGATCACGAACATAATTAATTGTCGTCGTCGTGACCTTCACCACCACCGCTCCGTCACCACCACCACCACCACCACCACCACCACCGCCACCGCCACCGCCACCGCCACCCCCACCGCCACC